CCACTCAAACAGGAAAGAATATACCTTCTTCTCAGCGTCTCATGGAACCTTCTCGAAAACTGACCACATACTCGGTAACAAAGCAAACTTCCACAGATACAAAAAAATTTTAGTAACCACCTGTGTCTTATTGGATCACCATGGATTAAAGTTAGAATTTAACAATAATTCTACCCCCAGAAAGCCTACAAACTCATGAAAGCTGAACAGTCAACTACTGAACCACCCCTGGGTCAGCGAAGAAATAAAGAAAGAAATTAAAGTCTTCCACGAATTCAATGAAAACAAAAACACAACATACCCAAACCTATGGGACACTATGAAAGCAGTGCTAAGATGAAAGTTCATAGCACTAAGTGCCCACATAAGGGGAAAAGAGAAAACACATATTAGAGACTTACCAGCATACCTGAAAGCTCTAGAAAAAAAAAGCAGACTCACCTAGGAGGAGTAGAAGACTGGAAATAATCAAACTGAGGGCTAAAATCAACAAAATAGAAACACAGAAACCATCCAAAGAATCAATGAAACAAAGAGCTGGTTCTTTGAGAAAATCAACAAAATTAACAAACATTTATTCAAACTAACCGAAAGGCAGAGAGAGAACATGCAAATTAACAATATCAGAAATGAAAAGGGGGACATAACAACAGACACTGAGGAAATTCATTAGGTCTTACTACAAAAGCTTATATGCCACAAAGTTGGAAAATGTAGAAGAAATGGACTTCTTTTTAGATAAGTACCATTTACCAAAATTAAATCAACACCAGGTGAACAATTTAAATAGACCTATAAGTCATGAGGGAATAGAAGCTGTCATAAAAAACCTCCCAACCAAAAAGCCCAGGACCTGATGGTTTTAATGCAGAATTTTATCAGAACTTCCAAGAAGAGCTGATATCTGTACTCCCTAATGTGTTTCACATAATAAAATCAGAAGAGTCATTGCCAAATTCTTTTTATGAAGCTACAGTTACCCTGATACCAAAACCACATAAAGACACAACCAAGAAAGAGAATTACAGGCCAATCTCACTCATGAACATCGACACAAAAATTCTCAACAATATCCTGGCAAATCGATTCCAAGAAAACATTAGAAAAATTATCCATTATGATCAAGTAGGCTACATTCCAGAGATGCAGGGCTGGTTCAACATACGCAAATCCATCAATGTAATCCATCATATAAATCAACTAAAATAAAAAACCATATGATAATTTCATTAGATGCTGAAAAAGCATTTGACAAAATTCAACACCCCTTTATGATAAAGGTTTTGGAGAGGTTAGGGATACAAGGATCATACCTAAATATAACTAAAGCAATATATAGCAAGCCAACAGCTAATATCAAATTAAATGGAGAGAAACTCAAAGCCATTCCACTAAAATCAGGAAAAAGACAAGGCTGTCCACTCTCATCATATCTCTTCAACCTAGTTCTTGAAGTTCTAGCAATAGGAATAAGACAATATAAGGAGATCAAGGGGATTCAAATCGGAAAGGGGAAGATGAGGAGATCTTGGGGGTATGGGACGGCTAGGATGGAGGAAGGGTGGATATGGGAGCAGGGAAGTATATGTCTTAGTTAAGGGAGCCATTTTAGGGTTGGCAAGAGACTTGACTCTAGAGGGGTTACCTAGGTGTCCAAGGAGATGTCCCCATTTTGTTCCTTGGGCAGCCGAGGAGAGGGCGCCTGAACTGGCCCCATCCTATAGCCACACTGATGAATATTTTGCATATCGCCATAGAACCTTCATCTGGCGATGGATGGAGATAGAGACAGAGATCCACATTGGAGCACTGGACTGATCTCCCAAGGTCCAAACGAGGAGCAGAAGGAGGGAGAACATGAGCAAGGAAGTCAGGACCGCGAGGGGTGCGCCCACACACTGCGATGGCGGAGCTGATCTAATGGGAACTCACCAAGGCCAACTGAACTGGGAGTGATGGAGCATGTGATCAAACAGGACTCTCTGAATGTGGCTGACAATGCGGGCTGACTGAGAATCCAAGGACAATGGCACTGGGTTTTGATTCTACAGCAAATACTGGCTTTGTGGGGGCCTAGTCTGTTTGGATGCTCACCTTCCTAGAACTGGATGGAGAGGGAGGACCTTGGACTTCCCACAGGGCAGGGAACCCTGACTGCTCTTTGGACTGGAGAGGGAGGAGGAGAGGAAGTGGGGGGAGGGTGATGGAAAGGGGAGGAGGTGGAAATTTTTAATTAAAAAAATGTTTGAATGTAACCCATCATATAAACGACCTTAGAGACAAACACTCATATGACCATCTCATTTAATGCCCAAAAAAGCCCTTGAAAAACTCCAACAGTGCTTCATAGACCAGGCTGGCCTAGATCTAAGAGATCCACCTGCCTCTGCCTCCTGAATGCTGAAATTAAAGGCATTCACCACCCTGCTCAGCTGTATATTGTACTTCTCCAGAGAAACGTCCTAGGACTTTTCCTTTGCAATTCCCTGAGCACAAGGCTCCCCCTGAGAATACCATCCTCTGAATTCACACTACTTCCAACTTTAGTCCAGAGCTTCCCAGGACAAATCTTGAACCTTGTCTAGACCCATCCTACAGTGAAAAGAATTAGGAGACCTGAAGAGCACTGTGATGAGAAAGACAGACCCTGCGTCCCACCTGTGCTGAACGTTATCAGGGAAGATCTCATTTGGCTTCTTCATCATGCCTGCTGTAGCCCTCGACATGATATTACAGTTCTCCCAGTGATCTCCAGTTGGCGATAGCTGGGCATTTGATCAATCATCTGAAAATTGTTTCCCTAAGCAGACTGCTTTCCATCTCTGCCCCTACTAAACTTTAACTCCCTCACTAGATCACACTTTGACCTACTGGTTCCTTCCATTGTCTGAGAACACCTTTCTGCATGGGGACTGTGAAGGTCTCCTCCCTTCTGTCATCTCTCTTGGGAGAAGACAAGATTACTACCGGGGAATCACCTAGGAAGGGTAAAGGTGACCCAGGAAGATCGGAGAGGAGGACATGTGCACTCCCAACACATAATACTAGAATGCTGCCTTGAAACCACCCATAGGAAGACAGCCCACAGTCCTTTCAAGGACACACAGGCCACCTCTTCAACAGCGATGAGACATGAAACTCTTCATACAACTGCTCCTGGGCCCCTCTCCTGAATCATTAATTTGACTGGTGACATCAGTGATAAAGGATTGATCTTCCTTCCTAGTCATCACTCAGCTGATCTCTTTTCAAGCCTCAGAGACATTTCTGTTACCTTCCTTCAGGGATTAAATAAAAAGGTGTAGACTGAGTGCTTAGCTGGATTTCTGTGTCACAAGGACGCATACGCATGATGGATGCTCCCTGCTTTGTGCTGACAGACCCAAGGCAAAAACAGAGCAGATGTCAGCCCCAGGATGAGCCATTGTTCCTGAGGCCATGGGAATGCTTGTCAGCCTTGTTGCACAATTTGTGTCTTGGTGAAGGAACATAAAGGGAAGTTGAGAGGGATGCAGGGCATCACTGAGAGTGGAAGGTCTTGAGCAGTGCCTTCGACTGAAACCCCACCACTCACAGCCCATTGGATTCTGGGAAGTGCTTCTTTCTGAGAAGAATCTCAGCCCAGAAGTGGTAAGAACAGCAGAGCCTGAGTTCTGTGTTGGAGCTGAGGCTCTTCTCCTCAGAAGGAAGACAGCAAGGGAGAAGATTGATGAAGTTCTCTGTGCTTCTCTGCAAGGGGTGTACCCCCTGGCAGAGGCTTCTGCTCACAGGTAAGGGTACCCACTCCATGACTGTGTGAGGAGGGGGACTCAGAGGCAGGCTGGAGTTTCCTAAAGAGGAGGACAGGATCTTGGGAGGAGACTCAAGGTTTCTGTTTGCAGCTTTGGTGCATAAGGTACGGTAAGGGACAGAGGCTCAGCATCCAGAGGCTTTCAGAGGACAGGAGGTGATGATGGTAAGAGTAGAGCCTCAAGCACTGCATATTCACAGTGAATTTCATTAGTTGCAATGTTCTGAAGACAGCTGTTCCCCATCATGACAGCATGACCCTCCAAATAGAAATCTAGTGGGACAGCTAGTGAGATGTCTCAGTGTGGGAAGATTTGACAACCTGAAACCAATCCTCAGGTCCCACACAGTAGATGGAGAGAACAGACTCCTGCAGGCTCTACTCTGCCCTCCACATAGGTGCTGTGGCATGCACCCACACATGCACACCCTAGCGCATGTGCCCCCCACAAATTTGTGGCATACATTTTCATATGTGCACAAGGAGACACCGGTCTTCACAAATACACACATATATTTACATAAGTAAATCTAAAATAGTTTATTTCACACTTGAAGATAATTATTGTCATAAATTCCAGACCTAAGAACTATGAAGAGAAATCCATGGAGACTTATTTCACTTTCTTTCCTTTCTTTTTCTTTTTATCCACTAGTATCTGAGTCTTTTCCAGGAAATGACCCTTCAAAAAGATCTGACTGATTCTGTCTCTACAAATTCCTGGTTATGTCAGGTAGTGTCAGTCAGGTCTTTAATCCTAGCACTTGAGACACAGAAGCAGGTGATCTCTGTGAGTTCAAGGCCAACCTGGTCTATGGAATAACTTCCAGGACAGCCAAGAATACACAGAGAAACCCTGTCTCAAAAAACCACAACCAGAGAAAAAAGTCAAAAAGTGAGGCCTTTTCAGAGAAGGAGTTCAGAGAGGCAGTGATCCTCACATATACACTCCATGTGAGGAGGGATAAGGGATACTGAATGGGGGAACCAAAAAGACACATGAGCAGAGAATTCCTCAGAGAGTTAATGACACACTCAGACATTCTGAGTCAATGGATCTCATGTTACTCACACTCAGACATTCTGAGTCAATGGATCTCATGTTACTCAAGTCTGCAAACGAGGGTGGGCACACCCCTATTTAAACACCAAAGTTTAGTGTTGATTACAACCTTTTAACACTGAAGTTTTTTTCTCAACTCCCTTCTAGCCTTCCTTTTAACCTTCTGGCATCTGTCCACCACTGCCCTTGTGACCACTGTATCTGTGCCATCCCGAGTGGCTGAAGGAGATGATGTCCTATTCCTTGTCCACAATCTGCCAGAGAAAATTGAAGCCATAGCCTGGTTCAGAGGGCCCTCAGATATGACTGCAATATATGGACTGCCCAACAATTCAAGTAGTCCAGGTCCTGCACACAGCGGCAGAGAGACAATATTTCACAATGGATCCCTGCTCCTTGAAAGGGCCAACCTGAAGGACACAGGCTTCTATACCGTACGAATCTATAATAGACATGGAAATGTCATATCAACAATATACACATACATCAACGTGTATGGTAAGTGATTCGTTGTGAACTCTGTGTGCTGGGTGAAGTCCATTCCACTGAACACATACAGGAGAGGGGTCTGTGCTTACCTTCCCTAGGCATTGTGTCCCCATGTTGGGGTTTGAGCACTTAGTTTGGGACACACAAGGTGTAGAATAAAGGCAATAGATTGGGAACCTTCCTTTGACTTTACCTTGCACACAGGTAGATGTGTGATGAGTAGTTCATTCCGAGGATATCAGCTCCTGTCTAGACTCTAAGGGTTCTTATCATGAATGTTTCCTTGAGGAAGACTCCGAGGGAATCAACATTGAGCTTGGTTGAGGAAAACATGGAATCCCCAGAGATATGAGCACTGGGACACCTGCCTCAAGACTTCTGTCCCAGACTCAGCTCAGGTGTCCATGAGAAGCATTTTCTAAGCGTTGGGTTTGGATGTATTGATGGCAAGGAAGAGTGTTCCCTAGTAGTCAAAGTCGTGTGATGTGTGTAATCAGATAAGAACCTTGGTTGTGCTACATCCCTTGGCCATCTTCTTCAGAGAGGCAGCAGGGAAGCATAGGTCAGCAGGTGTCCAGGCCATTAACTAACAGTCCTGTTGGGCATATGAGGTTTCACATGAAGGTCGTGTCCCCAAGGAGAGGGACTGAGGAAACAGGTTTTTCTGACAAGTGCCTGTCTGCTTGGTGCAGCTCATGGAACTCTCTCCTGTAGGCAAATGGTTCTAGGATAGATTGAGCCTTCCCAGATAGGTGCTGTAGTTCCCCAAATGATCACCAGGGATGTCATCAGGATACATAATAAACTGGCAGAAAAGCATTTTGCCTGAACTAGGAACTTACCTAGGAACCTGGTTCCAACTGTGTTTCTACAGATGTGGAAATCATGGTCACAGTGTTCTCAGACCTACTGATTGCTTAATGTGTCTCCCACACTGCCAGGAGACCATGTTCTCTTTCCCACTTCATGTGTTTCCTTTGGAAAATGCATGTTATCCACGGTGAATCAATTAGATAGAGGTCCAAGTCCTCTCAGAAAGGCCATGGAGCACAGGGAAGACATATTACACAGCCCAGCAAACAGAGGATGTGGGAGCACGGTCTTGAAAATCTTGCAGAATGAAGGGTCTCACAGCCGTTCTCCAGGAATCAGGTCACCTCCTCCCACACAGCCAAGAGCTGAGACTCCTGACACATCTTGGGCCCAGAACCCAGTCTGATGGTGACTCCAGGGAGAACAGTTTTGTTCTTTTCCACACACACAACCCACCCGGTCCCACTGGAGTCTCAAAGTCAGTTTTGTCACCTTCCTGCTGGGAGCAAATTCCATATTTCGAGAGCATTGAAAACAGGGCAGATTGGGTGCCCAGCTGGGTTTCTTTGCTGCACAGTTGTGCAGATTTTCCCCTTTGATGCTGACAAACCTAAACCAGCACACAGCAGAGTGCAGTTCCAGGCTGAGCTGCTATTATCTCATGTCACAGGGATGCTCGTCACCCTTGACTCTTACTCTGTGTTCTAGAGGAGAGAAACACAAGGAGAGAATCGGAAAAGAACCTGCGGCAACACTGACATTGGAGGGGCAGAGAAGTGGTTTGAATACAGACCCACCATCAGCCCATTGTACTATGGGAGGTGCTCTTTCCTGGGAGGAGGCTCAGCACAGATGAGAAGGACAGCAGAGTTTGTGAGCTGTACTGGAGCAGACACCTCAGAGGCAGGAGAGATCAGCTTACTCAGACAATGCAGTTCCCCTCTGTGCTCCTCTGTAAAGGTGCACCACATCTCAGGGCCTTCTGCTCATAAGTGAGAAGACCAGGAGTGACAGTGCGTGAGAGGAGACTCAGTGTTTATAGGGGAGAAGAATACAGAGTGGGAGAGAGGCTCAGAATTTGAATTCACTCCTTAAATACTTCAAGTTCACTCGTGGCTTCATTTTTAAAATAATACAAGACTACCAGGTGTTGGTGGCACACGCCTTTTATCCCAGGACTTGGGAGGCAGAGACAGGTAGATCTCTGTGAGTTTGAGGCCAGTCTGGTCTACAAGAGCTTGTTCCAGGACATTTAGGGTTGTTACACAGAGAAATCCCGTCCTGAAAAATAAAAAAAAATACAGGACACCTTATGGTTCTTACAGTGTCCCAGTTTGAGTGAACTTGAAGTAAAGAAAGCTAGGAGAATTCAGGTGTTAACTGCCATTCCAACAGGAACAGAACAGCAACAAATTTCGAGAGTGAAGACAGTATTGGTAGGGGAAGAGGTTGGGCAGGCATCACCCCACCATCATCCACTCTAAATGTGAGCAGGGATCTGATCCAGTGAGACACAGCCAAGCTAACAACTGAAGAGCGAGATCCATATAGTGGAAAGGATAAGTGTGGGGACACTGAGAGTATGAAGGTCATGTGCAGACCACCACCAAGTAGGACAGGGAGACACTCAGCCACAAACCTAGGCTGAACTATGGACACCGCTTCTCAGGACACAGAGCCTCATCTTAGCCAAACACAAAAGGTCCAACTGAGATGTATCTTTGTCTTCCCTTCTAGCTGTCCGTTGGCAGTGTGGGCTCCTTGGTACCTCCCCACAGCCCACCATTGAATTCGTGCCACCCAGTGTTATTGAAGGGGGAAGTGTTCTTCTACTTGTTCACAATCTCCCAGAGCATTCTGTAGTCTTTGTCTGGTTCAAAGGAACGGCTGCCTTCAAGAACATTTTGGCTATGCGACATCTACCAGCCACGAAACCAACTGTACTGGGGTATGCATACAGTGGCAGGGAGACACTGAACAGTGATGGATCCCTGCTGCTTCGTGGTGTCAGTCAGAAAGACAGCGGATTGTACACACTACGAATTCTGAAATCATATGGTACAACTCAAGATGTACAAGTGAAACTCCAGGTGGACAGTAAGTGATTCTCTGTGAGTTTTCAGTGCTGGGTGGGGCTTAGACACATGGCTGGCCTAGCTTCCCTTTCCTCTTACACTGTGTCCCTGGGTGGAGGTTTGAGCACTTAGTATAGGACTCACTAGTAGAGACAAATGGCCATAGATCAGCTTCCGTCTTCTGACTCCATGTGCATCAAGGAAGACCTTGATGGAAAGTAACTCAGCCTAACAAGTCAGAGTCAACCCATTCTATTGGGGCTCTAGACCAGGGAGAACTGAATCCTGTCAACTTTCCATGGCTGGACTAAAGTGACCCAGGCTATTGTAATGCACTTACATCCTCTCAAAGATCATAAGAAACAATGGTTTTAGAACATCCGTGTCAAACTGGAGTATTTATTACCTTCAAATTGAAAGTGTCATTAACAAAATCCAGGAATTGCTGCAGAGATCACAGATGGGTGTTTCCTATTGGTTTGCTCTTCATGCTTGCTCAGCCTGCTCTCTTATATCACCTAAGACTCCTAGCCCAGGACTTGAACTGTCCACAATGGTCTGAATCCTTTTGCATCTATCCCCAATTTTAAAAAAATGTACTATAGTTTTGCCCACAGGCACATCTGGTGGTTGCATTTTCACCTGAGGCCATTTCTTGCAAAATGACTGTAACTTGTGTCAAAAGTTACATGGTTGTAACTGCATGCACAAAACCATGCAGCCTAGTATCCAAACATTTTAAAGAGCTGAGTCTGCCTTGAAGACCAGACTACTCCCAGTTCCCACACAACCCCAGAGCTAAGGGGCACTTGACAATACTACAAGTGCATCTATTAGGTGAAGTCAAAGGATGAGTATTGCCTCAAAGGAAACTGAAGAAAAAAACCAAAAATTGATTGTTACTTTCAGACCTGTTGAGTGCAGGGAAGACATCACCTCAAACCTCAGTGTACATGAGTGTGTGTGGTGTTTGCCCGAGTGTAGTGAGGAAGCAGCCATATAGAAGAAATGACACTTTCAGGGGCATTGTTTGTAAAGATGGGTTTTGAAAGGTCAAGAAAGATAATGTTTCTGCCCTTCATTATGTGGCATACACACACACAAACACACACACACAAATACACACATACTCTCTCTTTCTCTCTCTCACACACACACACACTCACACACACACAACTCTAGGATGAGTGATGACTCCATCTCCTCAGTCTGGAGGTCACCATATTTTTATCAAACACAGTGATTCCCATGTGATGTCTTTTTTCTCTTTTCCCTCCCAGTTTCCCTTCCTGCATTCTGTAAAGCTCTCACTTCTTCCCGACTCTTGATCCAACCAGTGCTTCAGTATATTGCTGAAGGTGAAGATGTACTTCTACAAGTTCATAATCTTCCAGAAGATGCGCGAGTATTTTCCTGGCTCAAATCAAACAATGGGAGCCCAGCCCGTAAACTTGTAGAATACAACAGAGCCAAGCCTTCTATCTCCTGGGGGCCTGCACAGAGAATAAGAGGGAAGGTGTACAAAACTGGATCCCTGCTGCTCCAGGATGTCATTGCGAGTGATGCAGGGTTGTACACACTGGAAGTTTTAAACAAAGATTCCAAAATTGAAAGAGCAAATGTGGAGTTTTATGTAAAGAGTAAGTGGACTCTCTATGGCCTCCGACTGCTGGGTGTGGCTCATCCTATTTCATACACTAACTTGTTAGGATTGGACTGTGCCTGCTCTATCCCCCATTGCATTGTCCCCCCCGGGGGGGGGGTTTAGGCCATCACTGCAGGACACTCACCCGGCAAACAAACTGTAATAGATCAGAACTCCTAACCTGGATTCACTTGCAGAGAGGAGGACCTGTGCTGGGTAAGCTCAGGCCCAGGATGTCAGTGTCCTTGCAGACAGTTGGAGCTCTCACCATGCACATGTCCCCAGAAAGACTCTGTGGGAATCAGGCAGTCCCTGGTTGATAAAGACATGGGGTCTTCACAGAGCCTATGAGGAAGTCCTAACTCCAGAACTTTGCCCGTCTAAACTCAAGATGACATTGGGGAGCTTTTTGTAACTGTTTGTTTAGATTTCCCATCAGAGCTGACAGAAACAAAGCTTTATTGACTGACTGTCCAAGTCATGGGACTGACTACCCATAGAGTGTAGAACCAGCTGTGTACTGCCATGACAGCTGCATTTGGGTAGGCCACCTGGGCATCTCCTTTTGTTACTCAGTGGGCAGGTGTGCAGGCCATTAGCCTATTGCTCTAATGGACTTATGAGACTTCACAGGGAGGTCAAGGTACCAAGGGAAGAAGCAGAGGAGGCAGCTGCTCCAGATCCCTCCTTCTCCTCAGGAGTCCAGTCTAGGGAATTCTCTTCTGCAGCTAAATAATAACAGATACTGCTGATCCCCTGATCCCAAGCTCAGACCATTGTTTATGACTAAGCTTAACTCAAGGACATGACAATGATCATGCAATGTGTGCCCTATTGCATAGAAACCGAGACAGGAAACAGTGTCTAAATCAGAGTAACCCAGTCCCTGCGTGGGAGATCCAAAGCTTAAGCTATGTCTAGAGTCACAGCTCCAAATTCTCCCCCCTGGAAGCTTTATAAAGTATGAACTTAAGAGGGCCTGGTTTACTCTGTGGACTACTGTCATTTGGCATTCTCCTCTGTTTCTTCACAGAGTCTGTGACACAGCCCTTTGTGCAAATCACTGACACCACAGTCACAGGAGGTACATCTGTGATCTTGACCTGCGTTTCACCTGATACTGATGTCTCCATCCGTTGGATCTTCAATAATGAGAATCTGCCGATCACAGAGAGGATGACTCTGTCCCCAACAAAGTGTGGACTCAGAATAGATCCTGTAGGGATAGAGGATGCTGGACTGTACCAGTGTGAGGTCTCCAATCACTTCAGTTTGAAGACCAGTCCCCCAGTTCGGCTAAGATGAGTGTGCGACCTCTCCTCTCATTCCCACAGTAGAATGCTGGTATTTCTTTATTAGTGGGGTATAAAATGGCAAAAAGTTACTACTCAAGTACCACCAGCATTGTGACTCACGCCTACCATCCTGGGATACATGTGTGTACAAAATTTGAAGTGAAGTTTTCTTAAAACAAAAATAAAGATATCAACACAGTAAACAAAATTTCAAAGACCTTAAGAGTATAGGTTGTGGTTCAAATATATAGCAATACCTTAGAATTCTTGGAAACTAGTTACAGAAGTTCTTAAATTTTTGGATGCTCTGAGTCTGCTGTGAAACTGGTTCCTTGTTTGCATAGAGAAAAACCATCCTCTCATATGCTCAAATACATTCCCTGTACAACTATTTCACCTACGCCCAATACAACCTGCAAAACAGTCACCCATGTAAAGTATGGAAGAGTGACAGGAGATAGGTCTGCCCATTTTCACTGTGGACATAACTGGTTTCTAAATGGATTAGATCTGCAGTTTATTTCATACACAGATGTAACATCTTTCACGTAAGGGCAGATCATGCTGTTTTCACCTTGAGAGTGTCATTCACAGTGGGACATTTCTTATTAATGTTTTTTCTGTTAATATGTATTTCTTTCTTTTTTATTTTCCTCTCATATATTACATCCTGACCAGAGTTTCTTCTCCCTCCACTCCTCCCTAAACCCCCACTTCCCCTGTATCCCAGTCACACTCTTTTGTTTCCCTTAAAAGAAGAACAGTTCTCCCAGGGATATCTACAGAACATGACATGTCAAGTTATGTTAGATTTGCCACCATCCCTCATATAAGAGCTGGGAGAGGCAACCCAGTAGGAAGAAAATCGTTCAAAGGGTAGGCAAACCAGTCAGAAATGTGCCCCACTTCCACTGCTAGGAGTTCTACAACAATACCTACCCACATCACCATAACTTATATGCAGAGGCCCTAGCTCAAACTCCTACGGATCCATGATTATTACTTCAGTCTCTTTGGTCCTCTATAAACTCTGCTTTATTGATTCTGTGCTCTATGTTTTTATGGTGTCCTTGTCCGCTCTGGTTCCTATCATCCATCCTCCCCCTATTCTGTGGGCTACTTCTGCTGCTCCCAAATATTTAGCTGTGTGTGTTTTCACCTGTTTCCATAATTGTGGGATGATGCCTCTCTGATGACTATTAGGCTAGATACTTATTTATGAGATATCAGAATATCATTAGTAATAATTCCATTGAAATGTTTTTGCACTCATGTGTAGTTCTATCTTGAATTTCTGGGCTATCTATCCTCTGTTTCCTGGCTATCCAGGCAGTGTCAGGTTTGGGGTCCCTCTTATTGTATGGTTGTTTATTTGCACCAGTCATTGGTTGGTCACTCCCACAAGTTCTGTTCCACCATTACCCCAGTACATCTTTCAGGAAGGAGAGATTGTAGTTCAAAGGTTTTGTGGTTTGATTGGTGTCCCAGTTACACCAATTTTTTGTGGTTACATAAGATGACTGGTTCACTACTAGGAGTCTCTAGTAGGATCAGTCTTGTACATTCCAGGTTTCACTGCTGCAGTGAAATCACCACATTGTCCCTATAATTCCCCCCCACCGTTCTTGTCATTTTCCCAAGTACTCTCTCATTCCATTCCACCTCCTACTATCTGTTTCCTCCTGTTTCCATCCCTGCAGACTCCTAGTCCATCAACAAAATACATTCTGTTTCTTCTTTCCAGGGAGCTACCTGGGTCCTAGTGGAGTCTTCCTTGTTAGCTATCTTTTCTATGCATGCAACAAAACAGTGCATCTAATTGTGCACAATATTAGTTTATAGAAGTAGAGCTCAGATGGGTGTGTTTGTTTACAGGTTCCAGAAACTTCTGTAGAATCTTTAGGATTTTCCAAAAAAAGTTTATGTCATCTACAGATTCATTTTACAACCAATTAACTGGCTACATTTTATTTATTTGTGTGGCCTAATTGCTCTGTCTAGGACATCTAAGAGAATACTGAAGAAAAGTGGTCACCTTGTGTCAATCCTGGTCTTACAGGGAAAGCTGTCAGTGTCTGCACTGAGTACTGAGATGGCAGTGGTTTGTCACAAGTGCCCCTACTGCAATGGCCTCTCTTATACCCCTAGTTAGTTTGTTTTCATCATTAAAAATTGTTAACTTTTGACAGTCTTCTTCATTGATTCACTCTTATGAGTTATAAGTGAAATCACGTTTGTCTTTTTTCATGCTCCCAACTCTGTAGGTTCTATTTCTCTAGGAATTTGTCTGTTTCATGCAAGTCATTGTACAGGTCCCTATCACTATTGAGTTGTCATGGAAATTTTAGTAATCTGAAAAATGGACAGCAAGGTCTCAAATTTCACTTCTAATGTTAATAATGTTGCTCTTTCAAAACCAAGTCAATCTAAATGTTGTTAATGCCAGTAATCACTTTGAAGAATAAACTTTTTCCTTTTATTGAAAATGGATTCTTTTTCATACAATATATAGTGTTTACAGTTTTCTCTCTCTCAACTCTTCCCACACCCCTTACCTTGAAGATCCACTCCTTTTATTTCTCCCATTAGAGAAGAATAATGCTCTAAGAAATTAAACAAAACATGATAAAATAAAATATATTTTATTAAATATATAATTATTAAATATATAAAATATATATTTATTAAATATATAAAATATATA